TAGGGAAGGCTTTGCAGAAGAAGGACATTTAAACTAAGACTGCCAGGCCTGTAGTGTAAAAGCTGGAAGGAAGGGGAAGACCAGTCCAGGCAGGGGGACCGGGGCAGGGGGTCAGATGTGGAAAGCTCCAAAAACATAGAATGTTCCAGAAACTATATATGGTGTGATTTGTCTGGAGCAGAAGATGGGGTAGTTGGAGACCCTGCAGGCAGGCCATGAAGGGTCATGTTGCCCTTGAGGGGTTTGAGCTCTATACTGGGGGCAGTCAGTGGCCCCAAAGGGCGTTGTGTCGAGCATTCTAGAAAGGGTTGCTGAGTGCAGAATGGTTTCCGGGGATGAGTTGGAGAGGGGGCCTAGAGGGTGCAGTTGCCCGGCTGAGCAATGCTGATGCCCCAAGCTTTTGGCTGGGCAGGGGATGGAACTGGGGATGAAGAGAGAGGGCCTCATCATCAGTGACTCCTTGGTCTCCAGTCTGAGCGACCAGGTGGGTCAATGTATTCCGTTCCCTAGAACAGGGGGAGCACTGGAGGGGAAGCAGGTTTGGGGGAAGGATCAGGGCTCTGTTTGGAACAGGTGGAGCCTGGATCCAGGTGGGCAGTTGAGATGTCAGGTTTCTAGAAAGAGGGAGTAGTCCACGCCATCCACTGCTTCAGGGAGGCTGAGTCCTCTTGGATGAGGGATGAGGAGGGGGTGTCCACTTGGAGGAGTGCGTGGAGGACTCTGGTCTCAGCAGAAGCAGCTTGGCTGGCACAGCCTTGGCGTATATCAGGCAGAGAATGTCAGGAACTGAGACAGGAAGAAAAGGCTCACTTGTTCAGGAGGATTGGAGGGAGAGGCTGGGCATGGTGGCTTACATCTGCAATCCCAGCACTTTGGGAGGCCGAGACAGGAGAACCACTTGAGCCCATGACTTTGAGACCAGCCTGGGCAACATAGCAGGGCTTTGTTTCTACAAAAAACTTAATGAAAAAAAAAAAAGCTGGGTGTGATGGCAAGCACCTGTACTCCCAGCTGCTCAGGAAGCTGAGGGGGGAGGATTGCTTGAGCTCAGGAAGTCAAGGCTACAGTGAGCCATAATTGTGCCACTGCACTCCAGCCTGGGCAACAAATAAACAAATAAATAAAAAGGACTTGGAGAGCTGGAGGGAATCCGTTAGGGTCACACTGAAGGCCTCAGGGATGCCAAGTGTTTTGCTTTAGATTGGGAGAGACTCAAGTCCTCGGGCATGGAAAAGGAAGGACCCCGAAGAGAGGGAGAATGGGGATACAGGAAGGACAAAGGGATGACATGGAGGCCAGGTGCTTCTGTCCTGAGGAGGACGTGCCTCCTCCACTGTAACAGGCAGAAGAGCAAGAGGCGGGCTTGAAGGCAGGGTGGGAGGCTTGGAGGTAGAAATGAGAGTCCCCAGGTGAGGGCTTCTATTTTCTCCAAAGAGTAGCAGGGAGATCCTTGCTGGGTGTGGGGGTAGGAGGACGGGGGCTTGGAAAGACTCGGGGCATCGGCACCACCACTGAGGAGAGGGGGCAGGAGCAGAGAGAACTGGACTGTCAGGCTAGGTGAGAGCCCTGCTGAGGGTGGAGGCTGTAAGACTGCAATAGCTCCAACCTGCCTAAAATCAAGATGGCAGGAGGGTCTTTCCGAGCAGAAGAGATGGGAAAAGCCTGGTCAAAATTAGTACCAAAAGTGGTCAAATTAGTACAGGCTGGACCACTGACTGGAATGGGGCGGAAGGGAGGTGAAGATGGGAGGCCTGAGGGGAGAAGGAGGACTTGAGGCCAGAGAAGAACCTGGAAGTTCATGAGATGTCAGGTTTCCAGAAAGAGGGAGGGGTCCATGCCGTCTGCTGCTTCAGGGAGGCTGAGTCCTCTTGGATGAGGGATGAGGAGGGGGTGTCCACTTGGAGGAGTGGGTGGAGGACTCTGGTCTCAGCAGAAGCAGCTTGGCTGTCTTAATCCATTTGGGCTGCTATAATAAAATCCTGGGTGATAGCCGGGCTCGGTGGCTCAGCCTGTAATCCCGCGCCTTTGGGAGACTGAGGTGAGTGGATTGCCTGAGCCCGTGGGTTTGAGAC